ATTGAACGCTCATTGGCTCTCGCCTGCATTCGTCACAGATTGCGAAATGTCATGTTTCTGGTGAGGTGTGTTTGAATGATGCGTGTGCACCTTCATGAGTTCTCGGAGTGGATCGGGAAAATAATCTGGATAATATTTTCAGCGATTAACAACTTAAATTCTGCTCTGCACCTCACACAGACCTACTGTATTCCGCCAGAGAGGACTGTGGCTGCAACGCATCATCATTTGGATTACTTTTGGCACATGCTTTTGACATTTTTGCAACTTTTGGTACTTCTTTTGACATTTTTGCAATAAATAAATTATTGTAATTGCATTTATCTGTCTGTCATGTTTTTCTTATACTGTAACAGAAATATTTATGTTTAGGTTTAGAGGTAGGAGTGGGATTAGCGACTATAAAAATATTTTTAATGCTATATTGTTACTAAATTGGTTATTTTTCTGCATATTTTGGTCAATTGCGTTTTATATCCTTTTAATATTCGCTATAAAATGGGTAAGTTTAGGTTTGCGGGTAGGTTAAGGGGTCTAAAAATCTAAATTGCTTATTGATAAAATGATAAAAATGCATATTCGCTATAAAATTGGTAGGTTTAGGTTTGGCTGTAGGTTAAGGGGTCTAAAAAATCTAAATCGCTTATTGATAAAATTATAAAAATGCATTGATACGACTATCTCAATGATATAAAAGATAAATATTTTAAGTTTTTTAGCTAAAAATACGTAGCGATTTGTATGTTTTAAATGCTGAAATGTCTAAATTGTACGTTTTAGCATCAATAAAAACTTACAAAATGTACGCTTTGTGGTTGTAAATGTTACGTATTAATACCTACGTATAAACAATGAGACCAGGCTGCACGCACACACACACACACACACACACAAGCTGACTTGTAGGATTTATTTAATCACCTCTGACTTGCTGTGAAACAAACCTCATCCCGCTGGAGGCACTCTAGTGTGAAATGAGCTCCAGCACTTGACAGCCTCAAATTTGATGCTGGGAAACCAAGAGTTCATTTCACAGGACTAACACTTTCACTACAGATGCTCTGCCTGACAGACCACAGAGCCTTATTTTGAGTTGAGCAGCCACATGTGGTATATTTATGACCATCTTGCACAAAAGTTACATTTATTGTGGTAAGATGAGTAACAAAAAAAGGCCATCTAAAACAAGGCAAACTCACTGTTAAAAAAATCTCTTAATCACTTAAATTGTGTATAATTTTGTTATTTTATTTTTGTTAATTTTATACAATTTAAAAATCATTTTATACAAATACAAATATTTTGGTAGAATTAATTGCTAATTAAACAAAATAATATAACTAAATCAATGCAAAAATCATTTAAAAAAACAAAAATAATTTTACGTTATCAAAATATTTTTTGTAAAACTAATTGCTTTGAAGTATTTACAAATATGTGTTAAGTTGGTCAGGATGGTCATTGCAAAGTTTGTGAGGTTTACTAGTTAGTATTTATGGATTGTTTTATTGTTGTTAGCGTAAGTATGTGTCATATGTGGTCTGGTAGACATGAAATGAATTCACTTGAATTAAGCTGTCTATAATCTTAATTTTATATAGTTCCTTTTAGTTAAATAAAATAACTAAAATGTAAAAACGAATTAAAAATACAGTATTACAAAATAAAAATAATAACAGTTTTAAGATATTAAAATATATTTTGTGAAACTAATTGCAAATAAAAAATGACAATTTAACTTTAAAATAAAAAAATACAAATTTATTAATTAGTCATTGCAACAGCTGACTAGTCAGTTTGTGAGGTTCACTAGTTAATTTATCTGGCCTGTTTTTTGCTTTATCTGTAATAGTTTTCTTTAGCACAAGAATGTGTAGACATTAACTAATCCATATATACCTGGTTAACTCAACTAGTGCATTTGAAAATATGTATAGTTATTTCACATCCCTAATTATACATATTTTTTATATTTTCCTCAATATGCATTGCAGTGTGTGCATGCCACTCACGTGGTGAAGGCAGGGTTAACCTTTGCCCCCAGGTAGTAAGAGTAAAGAATGAACATGCCAATCATGAATGCAAGGAAGACCATGATGAAGAGGACCATGAACTTGAAGATGTCCTTCACGGTTCGTCCCAGAGAGATCTGCAGCGGCCCGAAGCTCTCGTTGGCCGGGAGGATGTAGGCGATACGAGAGAAGCTCAGGACCACAGCGATGGCGTACAGACCCTCAGAGATCAGCTGAGGATCCGATGGAAGCCACTTGTCTCTCGCTGAAAATACAGGAAATTTAGGTTTAGTTGTTTTACATTTATTTTGTTTCAAGTAACAAAAATGGTAAAAAGTACTATGGTGTGCAAACCCATCAGCAAATCCTTGCATGTAAAAAAATAATTACATTTAATCAATTTTTTTCATTCATAATATCATAAAACTACCAGTATTCATGTAGAACGTAATGTTAATTGTTTGTGTGTGTGTGTGTGTGTGTGTTCTCTCAGATTCTCTTTGAAACAGAGCAGTGCTCAGATTCACTCTCACCGTATGTGAAATATTTGATGTCCGGTGGCAGCGTGACCAGTGAGAGATCTGGAGCGTGGATGTTCTCATCCACATACTCCTGGGCTTTCATTGCCTGTAGGAAGGCGAAAAAGCGGGCGGTGAATGCAGCGATGAAGATGGAGAGCATGCCGAAATCAAGAACATTCCACAGCTGCATGATATATTCCCTCGGACCCTCCGTCCAGAGCTCCTTACACTCCGACCACATCATTCCTGCAGAAAACAGAGGCGTTCTGATGGTCAACACAGCAGTAGCTTATACAAGCATTGTATGCAGTGTAGTTGAAAATAGAAAAAAGCTTATTTGTGTGAGTTGAATGAACTGAACAAGACCAGTATTGCAGAGTAGTTATCATTTCTTATGGTAACTTCAAACTCAAGCAATTCAAGCATCTACACTGTACCAGAAAATACCCAAACATTCATCCTTCATTCTTTCTTTCTGACAGAAAACAGTTTGATGGAAATGTGCTAGAAATTAACGTGTAAAAACAATGGAAGGCAATTCTGATGTATTTGTGTAGATACAGGAAAAATAGATGAGAACAGTAAAATCATATCCAGGTCACAAATTCAGAAAAAAAAATTTTTGCAAAAGAAAATTATATTGAAAATTAATAGACAATTAAGCACATTTCCACTCCAAAATTACCATTATGCATATGGGCATTTTATTATAGAGGTTTTTGTTTGTTTGTTTGTTTTTCTTTGGCCCATGAAACTAATTTAATGTGTGAATTGTCATGATAAAATTTATTTAATTTTTGTTTTGTAATCAAATTATACACATTTTTAATAAATAATTATACATTTTAATATTGATAAAATTAACTTTGCAATTTCACTCTGCAAATTTATAATTTATTTACTAAAAACTATCAAATGTGACTTATATATATATAATTTTATAATCGATATATAATCGATTTAAAATGTTCAATTTTATCACAAAAACGCCATACTCAAAAATCTAAAAATATTCCTTATTTCTTACATATTATTTTAAAGGGGTCATATGATGCTTTTTTAAAGATCATTATTTTGTGTATTTGGTGTAACAGAATATGTTGACATGCTTTAATGTTCAAAAAACACATTCTTTTTCAAATACTGTACATTATTGTAGGTCCTCTATGCCCCGCCTCTCTCAAATGCTTCGTTTTCTACAAAGCCCCTCCTTCCGACAAGCACAGTCTGCTCTGATTGGCCAGCTGACCCAGTGCATTGTGATTGGCCGAACAACGCAAGCACTCGTCGGAAATGTAACATCCCTTACCATAATAGCGAGCGTCAGCATTCAAAATAAATGTAAAGACAGTAAATAATGT